TGCGTGTACTAAATGTGTCAGATTTAAACTAATAGAACAGACTCCTAGGTTTATAACTCGCTCACCCGTCCCCACATCGACTTGAATATTATTTCTTTGGCACAGTAATGTGACTAAACAAAGCCTGATATCTTCTCTAGAGAAGCGAAAAAACAACGATTGGACTGGCGCCTCTAATGCTCATAGATGCCCCCACATCTCAAAATTCAGCCCGCTTCTCGCAATACCACTGCCAGCTCTCACAACACCGGGCCTAGGTCTATCTCTCAAACCAGTAATAAGTCTAAATCTCTCTAGCCACCTTGAACTGAAGTATCTCGGCCAAAATTACTTGAAAAAAGCCGACGTAGCTCACCCAACTACCCACGCGCCCATTCCTTCACTCAACCAACTCAGGAAAGTGACTTTTTCCGATAATCGCCATTGAGAGTCTATGGAGATGCACATACTCTATCTTTACTTTATTGGATTTAGCTGCAAATTAATGACCAGCTAGGCCCGTCAAAACATTTCTATCACGGCGACAAGATAGAGTTACCGGGCGCATTTCGCCGTGGCCTGTAAACTGCTAAATCTAGGGCTAAGATTAGTGCTCGCTTTTGCGTGGATATAGTCGCTACTCGAACTTTTGATCACGCCTAAATCGTCAAAACACATATGGTTTTAATTGCCAATTTGTTGATGTTATGGGATAAACGGAATAAAAGTTGCAGATGCAAAAATTTACAGGAGGATATGGGAAAGTCGTATTTGTGATATGTTCATACGAGTCTATCTACGTCAAGTGAAAGATGTAATTGTCATGAAGAGAGAGAATACTCATCCTAATATACACCAACCTGACCATAATCATTTAACAATTATCTCCTTTGAATTCTTGGAACTACTCAATGTGATAATATTTTCCATACACACCTTTCGTTACACACAGTATAACAACACAATTTAATGAACAAAATCTGGTGGAAACTGATGCGCGCTTGATATTCATTCGAGCTATTGCAGTTTGGTGGAGAGAGCAGAAAGTTACATATTGCAGCTATTTGTAACTCTAGGTCCAAAATTTAGCAAGTAATTTGCTTGCTCTAACTATCGGTGCGATGAATAACTCGTCTTTAAGTCAACGATTGTTAAATAAGAGATGAGCGTCTACCTGTTGCTTGAGATTTCTTCCGCCTGGGAATGGAATTTATTTTGATAAACTGAGCTAAATTTCCATACTGGAATGGTTGGTTTTCATAGGAAATGGAGATATCCTGTGTTCTGAACTTATGGGGCCGCCATTTCATCTAGGTTCTTGACATAACCTTGTGTACTTTATGGGACTTGTACTACCTATGGATTTATGGGTGGCTTTGTGGCGTGAGCATACGGAATTTACTAGGAGGTTTCTGTCGGGAAATAGATCATATTTGGGCGTTATGGATCCCTCTATGTGCTATAGGTTATGGAAATTGATTAGGAAGTTGTGTTTGAGGTGTTAATGGTATCGTTAGGACTCGAACAGGCATCTGATATAAGCTCATTCGCGAGATGTTTGGGGTGTATTGAATTATTAGAAAGTATTTATTTTCTTTTTCGGTCTATGGAGATAGGAAGACTCAAAGAATCTTTCTACCTGTAGTCCGGGACAATCTATATCCCTTTCACGACATCTTCCCAGCAGTCATACTCCCACAGGTCTTTATTTGAGTACCAAGTAGAGGAGCCGTTATCCCGTCATTAATTTCCCCTGGCAAGCGAATGAAACGACAGTCATTTTCGAGTGAATAGCTATAGGGTCGAGTGTCAAAAATCGCTGGGTGCGAGACTCTCTTAATGCTGATATGAGGACTAAATTCCAACATATAGCAGCTACACTTCCGAGGCTTTCAAAAAGGCCGGCCAATCGGGCTCTGTAGACTTGCGAGTACCTAAGGAAATTCATACTCATAATTTCTAGGCTCCCTTCCACTCTTTCCCGTAGATCGTGATGAAAGGTCAGAAAAGTTTTGGCAGAGAGTGACTGTAGCCAAGGAGCCTAGCCAAGCATCCAAAAGTCGCTATGGACGCGGGGTTATTGTTGTAATTGTGCATCACGTGCAAGTATCTTAGCGTGCAGGCGTTCTTTCAGTACTGCGTCCAGTCTCAATGTAATATAGTTAATTATAACCCCTTGTAATTCACGACATTAGATACGTTCCTCTTCCTCAACATCCATCTCTTTATAATAGTTATCGAGTGACTCCTGTTGTTTAGAGCCCCCTGATAAGTAGACTTGGAAGTTGGATATGAAAAAGTCGATTTCGGCTAATGAGGGGTAGTCTGAATTTGTTGAGGGCGGAAGTATCTCCTGCTTCGCCTTCGCATGCTTTTTGTTTGCCCGCCGGTGGAAAGTATGTGTGTGATGAGGAATTTTCTGATTGTCGCTGTAGCGTTTGCTGTTGCAATATCTCTCCTCCTTCCTATCACCACAATGGTCGTCGTAGAGATTATCGAATGCGTATCTTTCAAGAAAGGGTAAACGGCTTGGCTCATAGTTGAAAAGGTGTAACACAATCTCAGCTCTGCAGTCATTAGATTGACAGCCGTTGGTTATTATGGAATATCGCTGATAGTTTTGTTTTCCTCATTACATCTAGAAGGTTCTAGCCACAATATTACTCCGTGCTATTACATTGGAATTTCATAATAATTGATCAGTCTGGAGCAGTACAATTGAGTGAAGCGTTAGGCAAGATCGTTTGGAGATGGCTTGGCGTAGAGACGAATTAGCGTCGAAGGATTAGGATTTGGATGTTTATATCGGAGAAACGAAGAAATGATTGACTGGTCATCTCCTTCATCATCTCACTTCTCTCTAAGGGGAAATATTCTCAACACCTGTCAGTGGTATCCCTTACGAACCTCCAGCTCTCACTGTAGAGTCTGCAGAGCCGAGATTGAGTAACAAAGTCCTCACTTCGACGAGGATTCCCAATCGCTTTCGCCGTCTGTATCGTCTTCATTCCCAAGCACATCTTCCTATCACCATTATCATGAAGCTAACCACGATCAGATCAGATGGTAGGGTCGGAGCCCTACTCATCACCAACCCTTGATCATGGAGGAAAAGCCATCCGATGAGTTCCCGGAGCGTGCCCAGCACCCGATACGCAGATAGTAGATTGGATCAAGTCGACCTCGACTGTTACAAAGAAGGGAGATGTAGATGAATACGCGCACCTCATGTGGTCCCGGTGTCTAGGCCTCGCCTGGCTGGGGCCGCAGGTTTTTTGAGACTTTTTCCCGCGCACGCAGTTTCCATTACTACAATTTTTGTTTTTTGGGTAGAAGGTTCCGCGGATAGACACTGAGATGAATGGCTATTCATCGAGGGGAATATATCAATGATCTTTCAAGAAACATGAGAGGCAAGGAGCAATGTACAAGGTGTGGCCTGGGTCAGAGAGGAGCCCAATGTGCTAGATAGTCTATGACTCAAGCAGTACAATAAACAATACACACCCACCTCACCCTACTTTTCTCCAAGCGCCTCGCTAATGAGCTAAGTCAGACCCATGTCAGAGATCTAACGACATCCTGAAAACCGCGATAATGTAGAACAATTCATTTCGCCCAAATATAATTCTTCACCGACAAGATATTTCAGGTACACTTATATCCAGCTTGTTAGAATATTCACAGGTCGAAGCACTGGGTATCATTCAGTTGCTTACCATTCTCGACCAATCACAGACATGGTTAGACTTTGTTACCGTTAGAAATATAAACTTCATCAGTCAAGAATCAGGCAGATCTTTTGGCGAAAAGGAGAAGTTTTGTCGAAAATTTGACTGAGAGCGAAATCTCGGTTGATTGTCGCCTTATTAGTGTCGATACGTCCATTAGCTCCTCTCGACTGGAGTGGCTGGCACATGACCTCATATCGGTTAGCCGTACTGATGAGAAGCTGATAAATTTTAAAACTATAATTGGTCAAAGTTATATTACACAAATCCGAGTGAAACAAAAGCTGCATGTGAAATCAAAAATTAACGAGTACTTGCACATGTCGAACTCTCTCATCCTCAAGGTGCATGCTGCGAGGCATAATATACACAGTCAAGTGCACATGTGTAGCAAAAAGATTGAAGAAACACAGCAAGCTTTATAAATAATTTTACTTGAGCAATCCAAAAAACAACAAAACTAGAAAGTCAAAAAATTAACATAACAAAATCCCCTGTCTCTCTTATGCTGCCGAAACCAACGCCTGAGAAGCAACTACTAACAAGCCATATTTATTCCACTCACACAGTCTATATCTATATTTTCAAATCAATAGAATGGAAATAAATTTTATGCGGGGAAATACTTCAAGAGACCTACTACCTAATATCCTACTGATATTTCATATATATGGATCGATTTTACTTCGCACCCAGCTTACCAGTTGGCTAGGCCAATAGGAGCTTCGCTTGCACTCGAGCATTCCTTCCCAATATCAGCACCCCGCACTATCACAAGCTAAAGAGTCCGAACAACTTATAAATCTAGCCTTTTGCAGAGAAAAAGAATAAGATGTGTTAGCAAGAGAAGAGAGGAGAACCGGATCTACTGAACTGAATCTCACATACAAACTTCAAAAATTCAAAAATTCAACCATTTCTCACTTGCTTCAAATGTACTACTCATAATACAAAGTAAAAAAAGAAAGCACCGAGGATGTCTGTTAATTAATCATTAAACACTATATTGTAAGTAATAGAAAGTCTCTAATTTAGTCGATGGTTATGACGTTATAAACCTCTTTTCTATAGAAGTTATTTACAGGGAAAATTAGATTTCTGGTTGGTTAGAGGAAGTTACTGAATAATTATGCCTAGACTCAAAGTATATCTCTAAGATTGATCGAAAATTTTGTGAATTAGGTCATAAGTCAAGGATTTTGAACTTGACAACATCAGGTCGATACAGTAAAATATGAAACTTGAAGCCAAATCATAGCCTTCATAAATTTACACGAAATCAAAACCAAAATGACAGTCAGCACTATCAATGATCGCCCTCAAAAAAAGTCTACCTCGGTAGCAACAAATTTAATTGCTGGCGGTGCTGCTGGTATGGTGGAAGCACTCGTATGCCACCCTCTTGGTAATATCTATCGTTCATTTATAACATTATCAATCATAATATTGACCTAAAAGTTACTAAGAAAATTTTAGACACCATAAAAGTGCGCATGCAACTTTCTCGTCGATCTCGCGCTTCTCACGTAAATAAAAGCGGCTTTATCAACACCGGCGTTGAAATTATAAAGCGAGAAACAGCACTCGGACTCTATAAAGGTCTAGGAGCTGTAGTAACTGGTATTGTACCCAAGATGGCAATACGATTCACGAGTTTTGAGGCTTGTACTCTACGGCTCAGAGATAAAAATACTAGTATTACCTCTGGGCGGGCAATATTTTTCGGTTAGATAAGCTTTTTTTCGTATTTCTTAAATTTAAAATAGCTAAATCTATTTCTAGCTGGTCTATTGGCTGGTGTAACTGAAGCAGTGGCCATTGTAACGCCAATGGAAGTCTTGAAAATTCGATTGCAGGCTCAGAACCATAGTATGGCCGATCCACTTGACGTTCCAAAGTACCGCAACGCTGCTCATGCGCTGTATAAGGTAGTTAAAGAAGAAGGGTTCTTTAGTCTTTATCGTGGTGTGACCCTGACTGCAATACGCCAAGGCTCCAATCAAGCTGTCAATTTTACAGCTTATAGTTACTTAAAGGCTCTTTTACAAGTTCACCAAAATAATTCTATGCCAGGCTCTCTTCATTCAACTAACAACAATACTCTTCCATCTTACCAAACGACACTTATTGGATTTATTTCTGGCGCCCTCGGTCCCCTCTCTAATGCACCAATTGATACAATTAAAACACGCCTCCAGAAGAGTCCAGCAGAAGCAGGTCAGAGTGCCTTGTACCATATCAGATCTATTGCAGGCGAGATGTGGCTAAGTGAAGGCTTTCGTTCATTCTACAAGGGGATAACGCCAAGAATCATGCGTGTAGCACCAGGTCAAGCAGTGACTTTTACCGTCTATGAAACTCTAAAACAGTGGTTGGAGGGAAAGGAGACTGCCATTGTAGTTGGAAAGTACGAGGAGTAGTTTAGTCTTATGGACCTTTCAATATAAGTTGTTTGATGTCTAACCTTGCTAATCGAGGAATCACTATGAAGGAATTCTGAGTAGTAATTACCAAAAATTATTCCTAACCCTTAGTTTGTGTCTTGTGTATAAATTCTATACTCTTGGGAATTTTATACAATTCTATTTTTTTCATTGCAATAATACTTGTCTGTAGTAAGGAAACAATAAACTCTCAGTCATTAAGGTTGTAGAGCTCGTTGATTCAAGTAACTACCAAAGTGAAACTAAGTACAGAATTTGTAGTCAGGTGTGTATCAACAACGTGGTCTACTTGAGAGCCCCAATTATTCTAAATTCTAACAGTCTGTGTATTTATTTATAATATTTAACATCGTGCCGGCGCACAGCACTTGAACTCCTCACGTACTGCTTAGCCCGGTCTAAATAAACAGCCCGAGGTGTTGGCGCCTGCATAGACCCAACAGAGCAAATTGTCGGTAAAAGGATCATATTTGGGCATTGTGATTTGTGCTATGTAATTGCAGTGCTCAGGATGCCGTTAGGGCTCTAACAGGGATCTTGTTATGACTATGAGCATGTGGAAGATATCTTGATGGACAAATATGGGCGACCAGCGATGTGAAAGGAGAACAATCGTGTGAGTTGGGAGCTATGAACTAATGTGTGCAGACTTGGTTACTATCTGGTCGGATGGGTTCGATGGGGCACTGGTACACTGTTCCGGACGTTCTTTCAGGTAGAATCTGGGTAGCTTGAACACCTATCCCATTTAGGACAGGAGATAACTGGTTCGAATTCGGTAAATCCCACAGATCACCCTCTCTCTCGATTATATTGTACTTTTGGGATGATAAAAGCAGACTCGGACAACCATAGGGTTTTCACGCTTTTCCCTGTGGTGGGTATGCACGGAAGAGGTTATACGCCGTAAGAGTTAACCTCGAGTGGTATCTGCAAATGAAATCTAAGTGTGAGTGTTCTAAATGTCAAAATGAATCATCCTACTTCAATACATATCTTCCCATAAAACCTGCATGGACCTCAAGGCGCCAAAACAGGAAAAATGAATAATATATATATGTTGATGAGTAATGAGTTACCTGTTTAGGAATCGCGTTAGGGGAGAGGGACAACTGCTGTATTTACGTGTTTTCTTTAGTCAGAAGTCAAGAAGAATGAAGATATATGTTAACCACCAATTGTTATTACTGCTACGGAAAGCTTGTAATGTAAATACTACTCGAGTATTCCGAAATTTAGAGCCCATCTTTTGTGCTTAAGTTGCTACACAATAACCGATCTGCTGCTCTAAAGGTTAACATTATCTGTATTGAACAAACAATGACACTTTAGTCACGAAATTTTAGAAAGCAGTTTTTTCGTATTATTTACGTATACATTGTACGAGTCGTAACCTTTACGCGCTAACTTCACCAAATGATAAGAGATGCTAGAGCTACTGCTCTCGTGTGGGTGTGTGTTGTTTATTGTACTGCTTGAGTCATAGACTATCTAGCACATTGGGCTCCTCTCTGACCCAGGCCACACCTTGTACATTGCTCCTTGCCTCTCATGTTTCTTGAAAGATCATTGATATATTCCCCTCGATGAATAGCCATTCATCTCAGTGTCTATCCGCGGAACCTTCTACCCAAAAAACAAAAATTGTAGTAATGGAAACTGCGTGCGCGGGAAAAAGTCTCAAAAAACCTGCGGCCCCAGCCAGGCGAGGCCTAGACACCGGGACCACATGAGGTGCGCGTATTCATCTACATCTCCCTTCTTTGTAACAGTCGAGGTCGACTTGATCCAATCTACTATCTGCGTATCGGGTGCTGGGCACGCTCCGGGAACTCATCGGATGGCTTTTCCTCCATGATCAAGGGTTGGTGATGAGTAGGGCTCCGACCCTACCATCTGATCTGATCGTGGTTAGCTTCATGATAATGGTGATAGGAAGATGTGCTTGGGAATGAAGACGATACAGACGGCGAAAGCGATTGGGAATCCTCGTCGAAGTGAGGACTTTGTTACTCAATCTCGGCTCTGCAGACTCTACAGTGAGAGCTGGAGGTTCGTAAGGGATACCACTGACAGGTGTTGAGAATATTTCCCCTTAGAGAGAAGTGAGATGATGAAGGAGATGACCAGTCAATCATTTCTTCGTTTCTCCGATATAAACATCCAAATCCTAATCCTTCGACGCTAATTCGTCTCTACGCCAAGCCATCTCCAAACGATCTTGCCTAACGCTTCACTCAATTGTACTGCTCCAGACTGATCAATTATTATGAAATTCCAATGTAATAGCACGGAGTAATATTGTGGCTAGAACCTTCTAGATGTAATGAGGAAAACAAAACTATCAGCGATATTCCATAATAACCAACGGCTGTCAATCTAATGACTGCAGAGCTGAGATTGTGTTACACCTTTTCAACTATGAGCCAAGCCGTTTACCCTTTCTTGAAAGATACGCATTCGATAATCTCTACGACGACCATTGTGGTGATAGGAAGGAGGAGAGATATTGCAACAGCAAACGCTACAGCGACAATCAGAAAATTCCTCATCACACACATACTTTCCACCGGCGGGCAAACAAAAAGCATGCGAAGGCGAAGCAGGAGATACTTCCGCCCTCAACAAATTCAGACTACCCCTCATTAGCCGAAATCGACTTTTTCATATCCAACTTCCAAGTCTACTTATCAGGGGGCTCTAAACAACAGGAGTCACTCGATAACTATTATAAAGAGATGGATGTTGAGGAAGAGGAACGTATCTAATGTCGTGAATTACAAGGGGTTATAATTAACTATATTACATTGAGACTGGACGCAGTACTGAAAGAACGCCTGCACGCTAAGATACTTGCACGTGATGCACAATTACAACAATAACCCCGCGTCCATAGCGACTTTTGGATGCTTGGCTAGGCTCCTTGGCTACAGTCACTCTCTGCCAAAACTTTTCTGACCTTTCATCACGATCTACGGGAAAGAGTGGAAGGGAGCCTAGAAATTATGAGTATGAATTTCCTTAGGTACTCGCAAGTCTACAGAGCCCGATTGGCCGGCCTTTTTGAAAGCCTCGGAAGTGTAGCTGCTATATGTTGGAATTTAGTCCTCATATCAGCATTAAGAGAGTCTCGCACCCAGCGATTTTTGACACTCGACCCTATAGCTATTCACTCGAAAATGACTGTCGTTTCATTCGCTTGCCAGGGGAAATTAATGACGGGATAACGGCTCCTCTACTTGGTACTCAAATAAAGACCTGTGGGAGTATGACTGCTGGGAAGATGTCGTGAAAGGGATATAGATTGTCCCGGACTACAGGTAGAAAGATTCTTTGAGTCTTCCTATCTCCATAGACCGAAAAAGAAAATAAATACTTTCTAATAATTCAATACACCCCAAACATCTCGCGAATGAGCTTATATCAGATGCCTGTTCGAGTCCTAACGATACCATTAACACCTCAAACACAACTTCCTAATCAATTTCCATAACCTATAGCACATAGAGGGATCCATAACGCCCAAATATGATCTATTTCCCGACAGAAACCTCCTAGTAAATTCCGTATGCTCACGCCACAAAGCCACCCATAAATCCATAGGTAGTACAAGTCCCATAAAGTACACAAGGTTATGTCAAGAACCTAGATGAAATGGCGGCCCCATAAGTTCAGAACACAGGATATCTCCATTTCCTATGAAAACCAACCATTCCAGTATGGAAATTTAGCTCAGTTTATCAAAATAAATTCCATTCCCAGGCGGAAGAAATCTCAAGCAACAGGTAGACGCTCATCTCTTATTTAACAATCGTTGACTTAAAGACGAGTTATTCATCGCACCGATAGTTAGAGCAAGCAAATTACTTGCTAAATTTTGGACCTAGAGTTACAAATAGCTGCAATATGTAACTTTCTGCTCTCTCCACCAAACTGCAATAGCTCGAATGAATATCAAGCGCGCATCAGTTTCCACCAGATTTTGTTCATTAAATTGTGTTGTTATACTGTGTGTAACGAAAGGTGTGTATGGAAAATATTATCACATTGAGTAGTTCCAAGAATTCAAAGGAGATAATTGTTAAATGATTATGGTCAGGTTGGTGTATATTAGGATGAGTATTCTCTCTCTTCATGACAATTACATCTTTCACTTGACGTAGATAGACTCGTATGAACATATCACAAATACGACTTTCCCATATCCTCCTGTAAATTTTTGCATCTGCAACTTTTATTCCGTTTATCCCATAACATCAACAAATTGGCAATTAAAACCATATGTGTTTTGACGATTTAGGCGTGATCAAAAGTTCGAGTAGCGACTATATCCACGCAAAAGCGAGCACTAATCTTAGCCCTAGATTTAGCAGTTTACAGGCCACGGCGAAATGCGCCCGGTAACTCTATCTTGTCGCCGTGATAGAAATGTTTTGACGGGCCTAGCTGGTCATTAATTTGCAGCTAAATCCAATAAAGTAAAGATAGAGTATGTGCATCTCCATAGACTCTCAATGGCGATTATCGGAAAAAGTCACTTTCCTGAGTTGGTTGAGTGAAGGAATGGGCGCGTGGGTAGTTGGGTGAGCTACGTCGGCTTTTTTCAAGTAATTTTGGCCGAGATACTTCAGTTCAAGGTGGCTAGAGAGATTTAGACTTATTACTGGTTTGAGAGATAGACCTAGGCCCGGTGTTGTGAGAGCTGGCAGTGGTATTGCGAGAAGCGGGCTGAATTTTGAGATGTGGGGGCATCTATGAGCATTAGAGGCGCCAGTCCAATCGTTGTTTTTTCGCTTCTCTAGAGAAGATATCAGGCTTTGTTTAGTCACATTACTGTGCCAAAGAAATAATATTCAAGTCGATGTGGGGACGGGTGAGCGAGTTATAAACCTAGGAGTCTGTTCTATTAGTTTAAATCTGACACATTTAGTACACGCATATCATTCCGATTGGATAATAAGCTAAGAAGATTACAG